TTGGTCCTTTACTGTCTACTCAGACAGCTTTATTACAGTCCTGTTCCTTGAGATTACACATGGGACACTCGGCTTCTCTCAAAACATGTAATGTGGCTCCTTGTAGTGTTTCATCTGTTTCTCCACCCTCTCTAAAAATGCAAGGAAGCTCTTGTCAAGGAGACACGGTCTAAATCACAGGTTAGGAACTTGTGGATCCTCAGATATTGTTGGATTTCTCTCTTCATCCTGGACTATTGGCCACGTTGATTAAGGCTGACTAAAGCTGGAGCTTAACATGTTTATTTGAAATACAGGAGGAAGTCAGTCTTCCCAGCTTGATGTTCTTTGTGTGCAGGGGACTACAATTCTCATAAACCCCAGTTCACATCTCTGTAAAATAAGTTCACAAGGCCTTCTCAATAGGTCAAGTAGGATACCTTCTATGGCTGTATCCATCATCCTAAAACATGTCACAACAAAGCATGGCATTGAAGGGCAAATTAATACAGTCAATGTGCACCTTGTGTTGTACTGAAATCAAAACTCACATATCCTACAAAGTCCACCTTGAAGAGCCAAGTCTTGATAAACCTTCCAAAACCCTCAAAGAGTCAGGGCACTTGTTCCAAAGAAGGTAAGCAACACCCTACCCACCCATGGTCCTGGGATCTGGTTGGGACCTGGAGGGTATCTGCCCACCACCTGGTCAGATACGGTGGACATGCTTCAGATCCCTTCCCTTAAATGGTGCCATCTAGTGGGACCTGGGAAGCACGCCTTCTCATAACTGCCCCTGCCCTGTGGAGCACCCTTCCCCCAGAGATCCAGCAGGCCCCACCCTCCTTGCCTCCTAGAAAGCCTTGAAGAGCTGGCTCTTGCCACAAGCGTTGGGGTAGGATGAGGCTGGAGCCCAGTAAAAAGGCGTGTGTCTGTATGGGGGAGAGTTGCGCCGAGGTGCCATTTCTTGACTTTTTATTCTGACTGGGGGAGGGCTGCTGTTTTTACTGTTTTGTGTGCTACCCAGGGTTGTGGTTACAATATGGGCAGCTATGTAAGTCTTAAAAAATGCATATGCATAAATAAACTTTGCTAAAAAGGTTTGTGGGAATGTATATTCATATTCTATCTCTCTCCCCCCTCCCCTCTCAATTTCATCTAGAGGGATTATCATCCAGTAAATCAGAATTAGAATGGTATCTTCCCTTGTCCAGTTCTACCTTTGACTGCACCTTGCTCTTTTTCCACGTGAGACCTTGTCTTGCCCTTTGCTTGGTGTCTTTTGTCATTCCCTGCTGTGACTTTGTCACATTTCTCAGCTCCTGTTCGTTTTCCTACCCAGCTGCAGCAGAATCCCTGGGGTCCTGTTGAGGAATCTCCTGCAAGCTGCATTGAAAATCTTCTCTCTGCCTTTGCCACAGATGACATTTTGCCTTTCTTCTTTTTGAATATGCTCAGCATGCATTAAGTCAAAACATCTATTCTGGGGACTTTCAGGTAAATTTGAAAGCCAGGGCCAACATACTTGTAAAATATGTCATGCTACAATCGCATTCTTCGCTGCATGTCTGTTGCTTCCCTCCTTTTATTGCTAATACAAGAAAAGAAAAATGGCAGGTGAGTGGAATGTACATTTAAAACACATGAGTAGGGGAAAAGGACACGGGAATAAGATAAATGTTTATGTGGGATCAAATAGTGCCATTCCATTTTTAAGCAAGTAAAACCTTGATCGCATGGATTCACTCTGTTGCATCAATACAGAGATTCAAATGTTGAGAGGACACATCAAAATGCATTTTCATTTTTCTAACCAGTGAAATTTCAGAGAACCTATTTTTTTTTAATGTTCTTATTTATGTTGCAGGAGTACAGCTATAGGAAAAACATGTAGTGCCATACCATACAAATAGATGAGGCCTTGGTTTCAGCCAGCCTAAAACCCAAAACCCTTAATAAATTATTTAATTTGCTCATTTCTCCTATTTACCATAACTTTATGTCTCCTCTGAAAAGAAATGGCCGGGTATCTATCAAATTAATTGTCAAAAGTCTTGGCAGTGTGTACAATAGTTCCTACAAAGATGTGAAGCAATGTGATCCTTGGGTCACTTAAGCTTGCTGTGAAGGTTTTCTTACAAGGGCACTTCAGGCAGTTCACATGTATTGGGGGGCATCTCATAGGTTGGGAGTGAATGCAGCTCACGTATATATGGGGGGGCACCTTTTACCATCACATTAGGTATCGTGCAAAAAAGAGGTTACCTTCCCACCTTTCAGCCCACACAACTAAGAAAGGAGATTTTAGGAGTTGCCATCCTCATAACAGAGCAATCTGACTTACACCTTGATAATCATTCCTGTACAAATGAACGTGGGTGCTTGACTGCAGACAAGAGACGGGGACTATATATCCCACCATGAAGCTGGAGTTGCACCAAGGGACGTTGAAATACAACTCAAGAGGGTCAAAAAACTGGGGCGGGGGGAGATGTAATGGTATGTGGGAATGACTTTGGGAGACAGGAGGAAGAGCCCAGCCTAGACAAGGGTCTGATAAATGAAATCTGAGTCCAAAGGAGGGATGAGGGTGGAGAAAGAAGAGACCCTCCCTAGTCCTCTGGAAGGTAAAGACGGGAAGGGGAGAAATGCTTTCAGACTTGCAAGATTCTGTTACTGTAACCTTACATTAAAGGTAGCATTAGTACTCATGGTGCTTTTCTCGACTACCTCAAAAGGCTGACAGAAGGGAAATCAGGCCAGTGAAGAGTGAACATATTAAGTTCACATTTCGACTAACAGAAAGCAGAAGTGAACTGAGTTTGAATTGTTTGTATCTTATTTTATTCCAGAGAATAGCTCAGCAAATGGGCTGAAACCCTTTAAGAACATAAGAAGTGTCCTGCTGGATTGGACGCCTGGCCCGTCTAGTCTAGCCATCTGTTCTCCCAGTGGCCAACCAACTCCACAAGGAAGCCCATGAGTCTCCCAGCAGATGGTCTTCAGAGTTCCACTGCCATTGAGGGTGATAGCCATGGATCCCCATGACTTCCATGGATCTTTGTTGTGAATTTTAGAGATCCCATGTTTAGCAAATGTCTTTTCAAAGCTGCTTGTAATTTCTGAAAGGCACCAGACCACATACAAAGTGGTTGGCAGTTAGTTTTGACAACTGTCATTGTGAAATTACCTGAAACTCAATATAAATTGAGTGAGTATTAATGTATTGTTTTTCAGAAATCTTTTTCAAAAGGTCATAGTCCCACTGATTTATTTTCCTGGGTCTTTGATGGGAAATATTACAATAGCTAAAGGTTAGGTTTCCTAAATGTTGTTCTACCCACTCCATTCATATTATGAAGAGTCCAAGGTACAATGTTGTTAAGTGTTCATACACAGAGCCAAAGTGAATTACACACTCTCAAAAACAAAATCTAAATCATGCTGATTATTGACAGATAAATTGCCTAATTTTTAACAGCAATCACCGAATCCTCAAAAGGTGGAGGTTGAATGATAAAAATCTCCAAACTGCAGGTTGTGGTTTATCTCCCAGGATGTCTGCCTCCATTAGCAGAGCTAGCTCTGGGTGATAAATGTTGTGTTTTCTAAACTCTCAGATAATCTAGCTAAATGGTCTGCTCTTTATTGAATTTACTTGGTCAATAGCATCAACTTCCCAGCTTTCATTTTTCAGTGGGAAGAGTCCCATGTTGAGGCGGATGGGTTATTGACACAATATTCTAGCTCACCAACTCTTCTAAATGACTGGAGGCTAGGAGGGCCTGGATGAAGAGAAACAAACTCGGCAACGTGGAGCCTTCAAGAAACATCCATTCTGATGTTGCTTGGTGTGGTGGTGGTGCTCTCTCTTGCTCGCTGTCTCTCTCTCTCACACACACACACACGCACACACATGCACACACACTAGAAGGAGCAGATCCGTGACTTGACATCCTTTTGGACTCCTGACCCCTCCTTGAACAGCAGGTGGAGGCCACAGCCAGGGTTACCTTTGCTCAGCTTGGCCTGGTGCACCAGTTACAGCCCTCTCTGGACCAGGAAGGCTTGGAGATGGTAAGTCAACACCAGTTGAACTAACACTTTATCAACACCAGTTGAACTATTCCAATGCGCTGTACATGGGGCTGTCTTTGAACACAAATCAGAAGCTATGACTGTTAAGAAATCCATGGCAGCCTTCTGGACTGAGGAAACCAGCTATTGCAGAATTACACCCATCTTGAGAACACTACACTGGTTGCCAGTAGGTTTCTAGGCCCAGTGCAAAGTGCTGGTCATTACCTGAGGGACCACCTTATCCAGAATGGTTCTACCCATCCCGTGAAATCATCTATGGAAGGTTTGCTTAAGGCCTTGCCTCCACAAGAGGTGAGAGGCCTGCAGTCTTCTCTGGGGCTGTCCCCACATGATAAAATACGTTGCCCTTGGGGTGCATTTGGCATGTCCACTCTCAACAATCAAGA